CTATTCAATTGCCTCATATATTTGCACACATGGAACACTACCTTTTTATCACCTACCCGGAAAGTGAGGTCACTGGCTTCCACATCAACAAGATCCTTCCCCGTAGCAAGGAAAGGTCTACCAAGAATAATCGGGGCCTCATAGTCCACCTCACAATCAAGAATAACAAAATCCACCGAGAGAATGAACTTGTCAACTCGAACCAATACATCCTCAATTACCCCCAACGGTCTCTTCATTGTACGATCGACCATTATTAATCTCATAGATATGGGTCTTGGTTTCCCAATTCCCAATGTCTTGAAAACCGAATAGGGCATTAAATTGATACTCACCCCAAGATCACAAAAAGCCATTGCAAACTCGGCACTTCCAATGGTACAAGGGATTGTGAACGCACCAAGATCTTCCAACTTAGGAGCCATCTAATACACAATTGCACGCACTTGGTGAGTGACTTTGATAGTTTCAAAATTCATCGACTGCTTCTTTGTCACCAAGTCCTTCATAAATTTTGCATATCCGGGCATTTTCTCTAAGGCTTCAACTAATTGCACATTTATCGAGAGACTCTGCATCATATCAATGAACTTTTTAAATTGATTCTCGTCATTTTTCTTGGCAAGTCTTTGAGGATAGGGAGGAGGCAGCTTAAGCAATGGAGCCTTAGCTTTTTGCACTACCGGTTCCAGTATGTCAATCACATGATCCCTAGATGTGTTCACATCCTCTTGAGTCTCTTCCACCGTGTCATCAATATCAATACGCACTTCCTTATTTGCATGTACAACATTATTTGGGATCTCCTCTTCCTCTACCAGTTGCACATCATCCAGAAGTTGCCTTTGACTTGAGGTAGGTGCATTCCCACCTCTTCCACTTCTTGTAGTAACAGCCATGGCATGCCCCATATTGTTCCCACCCTTCGGGTTCACCACTGTATCACTTGATAGTGCCCCCATAGGATGAGAATTTAAAGCTTGATAGATTTGACCCATTTGCACTTCTAAGTTTCAGATTGACGTGTTGTGTGAAGCAAGTTGGGCATCGGAATCGACATTCTTCTCTATCATTTTCTTGAACATGTTCTCAATACGACTCATTTCATTGTTAGAGAAAGTAGGACCATGAGAAGGATAAGGAGGTGGGTTGCTCGATTATTGATTCATCGGGGGCCTTTGAAAACCCGACCCCCGATTTTCTTGGTTGTTGTTCCACCGGCCTTGGTTGTTGCCTCCTCAATTGCCTTGATTGTTATTGTTTTGCCAATTCCCTTGGTTATTTCTTCCACTCTAATTGCCTTGATTGTTTCCACTATTCCAATTACCTTGGTTGTTAGCATTCCAATTTTCTTGATTATTTGAAGGTCTCCATTATTGTTGACTACGGCCTTGGAAGTTGTTTCTTTGCCCTTGAAAGTTGTTCACATATTGGACCTCTTCCTCTTGATCATTATAAGAATCACCTTGATCAAATTCACTATCATCTTGCACAAGATTGTCCACTCTTTATTGCACTTGTGGACTTCTTGTTCTTCTCTTGTTTACCATCATATTAACTCCCTCCATAGCATTGAACATCCTCGGATTTTGTACTTATTGAAGTTGAGCCTTTGCCAATTGGTTCATGGTGGTTTTCAACTAGGCTATGGCTTGACCATGGTCATGTAAATCTTTATGAAGAAGAATCACATTTGGATCATCTTGTGGAACATTGTCTCAAGATTTCCATGCCGATGAAGTATCGTCCATCTCATCCAAAATATCACACGCCTCCGCATAGGGCGTAGTTATGAAGTTCCCACCGGAAATTTGGTTCACTACACATTGGTTGGTGGTATTGATCCCCCGATAGAAAGTTTGTTGAATCATGTTCTCTATCATATCATTGTTGGGGGTACTCTTTCACCATTGTTCTATACCTTTCCCATATCTCGTGCAGTGGTTCATTGGGCTCTTGCTTGAATGCTAATATTTCATCCCGAAGAATAGCCATGTGCTCGGGAGAGAAGTACTTTGAAATAAATTTCTTCGCTAGTTCATCCCAATTATGAATGGAGTGATTTGGCAAACGTTCCAACTAATCTAAAGCTTTTCCCCGTAGAGAGAAGGGAAAAAGCCTTAGCCTCAAAATATTGTCAGAGACATTTGTTTGTTTGCTCACCCAACACGTATCTACGAACCCCTTCAAATATTTATATGCATTTTGACCTGGTGCACCGATGAAAAACCTTCGTTGCTCGAGCAAAGTGAGCATCACGTTAGTTATTTAGAAGTTACCCACCCTAATACAGGGAGGAACTATAGCAATTGCATACCCTTCATTCAGCAACACCCGGTGTAGAGTCGCTCGTGGTGGAGGTGGGGGTGGAGCGGGTACATTGTCTTGAGGCGGTCGGCCTCGTCTATTGGCCTGAGGTTCAAGAGGGACCCCATCCATTTGATCATCCTCAATATACACATCCCCCACGGCTATGTTTCCGAGATCATTATTTGCCATGATTGCACAAATAACACTCACACGTTAGTAACAAGGAAGTAAGAGAAGATATCCCAAACACACACCTAACTATATAGATAACACCATTTTTTAGCTCCCCAGAAACAGAGCCAAAAATTGATCTCGTCCAATTTCACTCCTCACTTTGAGGTTACGAAAACGGTCGATGCAATAGTAATACCCAACAAGATTCGAGGTCAAATTCCACAGGGAGCTATATGAATGGGTGTTAATAGTATATATCCTAGCGCGTGAGTTTGTATATCTAAATTTTCACTTCCACAATATTTGGTTTTGCTTAAAAATCTAAACTAAACTACGATTGTGATTCAAAGAATGAAACTAGGAAATTATTTTTGTTGTTTTCTAAATAATATAAAAAGCCTAGGACTATGACCTTTACCTAGGTGTTTGCCTAATGAGTTGTAAACTTTAAAGTTTGTTTTATTGATCGGGGTGTATTATAGCAATTAACATTCAAGTACCCACTAAATACCTCTCGGTCAGAGAGTGATTTTTCCCAATTCGGCTTTCTTAAGTCCAAATAGGTATTGAACAAAATAGTTAATAAGAATCTCAAGTCGGGTTTTACTATCTCTAGGTTCAACCCTTTAATTGGGCTTATCAATCTCTCGATTGACCTAATTTCTTGCTAGCTAAGTTTTCCTAGACTATGTCTCTCTTTCTCAAGTAGAGACTAAGTCAAATAGTCATGAATTAATGTTTGCAACCATTAATTCTTCAAATAAAAACAAGAACAAGGCTAGATAATAAACACCCAACCATAAACAAGTAATAAATCAAACACCCATTAAGTTTACATACTAGGGTTGAGTCACAACCATAGCGAAAATTTAGCTACTCATGCTTAAACTAGAAGAATCAGGAGAAGAAATGATAATTAAACCCATATTGATAATTAAAATGATGAAATCAATATTCAAAAAGCTCAAAATAGCAAAAACTACTAAAAAGAGTAAAAGAAACCGTCTACTGTAGCAGTTGATGTCAAAAATTGATCTAAAAAGTGAAATTCTTCTATTTATACAAAGCTGGAATTTCGGACAAAAATGCCCTTTCAGAGGTTCTGCGGCCGCACAATTCCATGTGCGATCCGCACTTTGCTTCAGCTTGAAAAGGTTGGAAATCTGCGGCTGCATAATAATGCAGTGCAGCCACACTGCCCTCTTTCTGCAGTCCGCACAATAATGTATGCGACCACACTTTGTTCTTCTGCGGTCCGCACATGGAATTGTGCGGCCACGTAGCTCTTCTGGTGCGGTCCGCACTTGTGTTGGACTGGAGGTGCAGGTTCTCTGAAATTTTGCTCTGACCCAGCTTTTGCGGCCGCACAATTCGTGTGCGGTCTGCATCTTACAACATTCTCTAATGGAATTGCTTCACGGCCTGCGGCCGCAGATAATATTCTGCGGTCCGCACTTTGAGATTTTGTGCCTATTTTTGTCCTTGAGTTCAGATTAATCCTTCTTGAGTTGGATTTCATTTCGGGAGCTCATCTTCTAATATTCCTGCAATTAAGTACATTTTATCAGTTTTCGGGAACACAATTAAGCGCTTTTGGACTAAAAAGAAAGCTAAAAGGCGCTAATAAGTAGTCAAAATCCTCACTTATCAATGTCCTATGAAAACACAATCAACAATTTTCTGTCTTATCTTTACCCTTTTGGGTTTAGAAACTTGCACTTTTGCCAAACACCCTCACAGTTTAAAATAATTCAAGTTGGGCTTCCTTCCTTTTCATTTTTCATATGGAATGGATTGCATTTTGCTATGGGGTACTCGATTAAATATCCGGTTAGCTGTAAGAATGGCTTCCCCCCACAAGTTCTGTGGCAAACCAGTACTTATCAACAAAGCATTCATCATCTCCTTTAATGAACGATTCTTTCTTTCCGCAATCCCATTGGATTGGGGCGTGTAAGGGGCCGATGTTTGATGAATAATTCCATATTCTAAATATATTTCTTCAAAAGGAGATTCATATTCACCACCCCTATCACTTCTTATTATTTTGATTTTCTTGTTAAGTTGCGTTTTAACTTTATTTTTGTATTGCTTGAATGCATCTATTGCTTCATCTTTACTATTAAATAAGTAAACATAGCAATATCAAGTATTATTGTTAATAAAAGTTATGAAATACTTCTTGTCACCGCGAGATGGTATTGACTTCATGTCACAAATATCTGTGTGAATTAAGTCTATAGGATTTGAATTCCTTTCAGCTTACTTATAAGGATGTTTAACATACTTAGATTCCACACATATTTGACATTTTGATTTGTTGCATTCAAATTTAGGCAATACTTCCAAATTAATCATTTGTCGCAAGGTTTTATAATTGACACGTCCCAAACGTATATGCCACTCAAGTAAGTAAGAACAAACTGAAATTTTATTATTCTCAACGACCATTACATTCAGTTTGAAAAGGCCCTCAGTGAGGTAACCTTATACTACAAATATTTCATTCTTATTTATTACAACCTTATCAGATACAAATACGCACTTAAACCCGTTCTTGATGAGAGTGCAGTAGAGACTAAGTTCTTCCTAATTTCAGGAACATGAAGGATGTTGTTCAGAGTCACCACATTGCCAGAAGTTATTTTCAGAAATATCTTGCCACATCCTTCAATCTTGGCCATTGCAGAATTTTTGATAGAAAGTATCTCTTCGGGTCCATCGGGAGCATATGTAGCAAACGCTTCTCTAACAGCACAAACATGGCGAGTGGCTCCAGAATCAATCCACCATTCCTTAAGATTTTCTACCAGGTTGCATTCAGAAAGCATAGCATACAAGTTATCAATATCCTCATGCTTTTCAACCATATTTGCTTGATCCTTCTTCTTGTCTTTCTTTAGAGCACGAAAATCTGCAGATTTGTGTCCAGCTTTCCCGCAGTTGTAGCAATTTCCTTTGAACCGCTTCTTGCTTGGGTTGCTTTTTGGTCCAGAAGGCTTCTTCCTCTTTTTATTATTTTGTGGAGCATCCTCAACAATGTTTGCTCCCATTATTATTGAGTTTCCACGACCCTTCTTTTCAGCAGCTTTGTTGTCTTTTTCGATCCTCAACCGAACAATGAGATCTTTGAGCGACATCTCCTTGCGTTTGTGTTTCAAGTAATTTTTGAAGTCCTTCCACAAAGGAGGCATCTTCTCAATCATTGCTGCAACTTGTAATGCCTTATTGATGACAAGACCTTCAATGAAAATTATATTAGTAATAATAATATAATTAATACTATCAACAAAAGTATTAATTCGACTTATACCTTCAGCAAGGAGATCGTAAATAGGGCTACTTATCGGGCGGATTGGGCGGTTAATTACTCTTAACGGTTTGGCTTAACGGTTATCGACTTTTAAATGTATTAATCCGCTAGCCACACGATAAGATATCGGGCAGATTGGTATCGGTTTAGCTCTTATCGGGCGGTTTATCGGCCTAATTCAATCTATATTGCGTGTATTAATTGTTTACTGACCGACTAACATACAAATTCAGAATAGAAAATTATACATTGAGTCCACACATACATGTCTGCTAACGCCTACATAAGAATGATGTAGTGTCATGTGTTGTAGAGTGAAAAAAGATATGGCACAACACTGTTGTTCTTCTATTAAACATAGACAACATGCATTAGTTTTAAAAAATAAAAGCAGAGGTGAACCATAGACATCAACTTAAACAATTTTGTTGTAGGGTGGGAGAATAAGCTAAGTTAAGCCAAGCCTGGGATCTTCTGATGCATAGTACGTAAGGATTCTGATTATTTAAGAATTAGGCGTTAGAACTTAGAGATAGAGTACTGAAAGGAGTGGAAGGGTTTTTAATCTTTAATATATATATATATATA